TAAGGAGGGAGTAAACACTTGTCATTGCAGAGGCTATCAAAGAGGGCAATTTGTGAGTAGGCAGCTTTTACAGAACGCAAAGACTTTCAACAAAAACTGCCTCTGAAGGTGATGAACTCAGATACTGGAAGTATTCAATCAGAGACTAGGTCATGATCTGTTGGGATTATCATGGAAAGGATTCTTGAATTGGGTGGGAGCTGAACTTGACTCCAAAATTTTAACTCTGATTCTTTGATTTCCTTCAATAGAAGTTCTGTGGTTTTGTAGTAGTAGCTAACATTTATAGAATCCTAATGTTCTAGCCAATATACTAGGTGAATTTTATTGATTTTACTTAAGCCTCACAGTAATCATACATAATAGGTATTCCTGTTTCACAGATGAGGGGACTGTCCTTCCTGTCTCACAGATGAGGAAACTGAGGCTTAGCGAAGTCTGGTAAATTGCCTAAGTTCCTACAGCTAGTGAGTAACAGAGGCTGGATTTAAACCTAGGCTATTTGACATTAGGGCTTGTGTTGTCTACCATATGCTACTTTCCAAACACTTTAAACATAATCATTTAACTCATTAAAGTATGATTTATTCCAAGAATATGATTATGTGTTTTGTCAAGTGGGATATTTACTTGCCTATCTCTAAAGAGCACCAGTTTAAAAAGAGTGTATTTTTCTAATTACAAATATGTACATATTCGTATAAAATTTGTAAAATAAAAATTGTTCATAATCCTACTATCATTAGGTAGCCATTGATACTTAGCTGGGCATATTGGTTCACACTTATAACCCGAGCACTTTGGATGGGTGAGGCAGGAGGATCACTTGAGGCTAGGAGTTTGAGAGCAGCCTGGGCAACATAGTGAGACCCCCATCTCTACAAGAAATCAAAAAATGTGCTGAGCATGGTGACGTGCACCTGTACCCCCAGCTATTCAGGAGGCCGAAGTGGGAGCCCGGGAGGTTGAGGCTGCAGTGAGCCGTGATTGTGCTACTGCAGTCTAGCCTGGACAACAGAGTGAGACTCTGTCTCAAAAAAAAAAGTTTTATGTTCAATTAATTTATATACAAAACTTAAGAATGACATATTGTTTCACTCATGAGATTTGGTGAGGCATTAAAAAGCTTGGATCCCAGAGTAAACTGTTACCAAAGTTTGATTTTTTTCTGGCCCCCAGCCCAGTAGTGAACCATACTACTTCCTTATAACGTCGAGGCTCGATAAGGGGAAAAACTTTTTTTCATTTGAATAAACAGAATGTTGTAATCTGGTGATTGAATTAGAGACATTTATCATACAAATGTTAACATATAATACCTTGAGCTGAATTTCATTCATTCAGTAACTATTTACTGAGTATCATCAACTCTGTGCTGAGTCACCGGGGATATGGTGGTAACAAAGCCAGTTAAGGCTCCTGTTCTCATGGACAGACAATGAATGAACCAGCAGTCATGCATTCATCCGTCAGGCCAACAGGCTGTTTCCAGATTTTGGCTGTTACAAACAAGTAACTGCTATGAACATTCTTATATGAGTCTTTTTATGAATAGATTCAATTTATCCAGCTTGGGACTCAGAGAATAGTACAAAATCTGGCCCTTTTCATACATTCCAAGTCTTTATTCCATGAATGTTGGAGTTTCTCAGTCCATTTGCCATGTCTCTGCTTTGTTGTGTATTCTTTCTGTTTTAAAAAAAAATTTTAGCAAAGATGGGATCTCATTATGTTGCCCAGGTTGGTCTTGAACTCCTGGGCTCAAGTGATCCTCCCATCTCCGCCTTCCAAAGTATTGAGATTACAGGTGTGAGCCACCATGCCTGGCCTCTGTATGTTTTCTACCTCTTTATTTGTCTGCTACATTCTGGTGACTTCCTCAGATTTTTTTCTTCAATTCGTTAACTCTCTCTGTATGTGTGGTCTACATTTTAACCTGTCTATTGAGTATTGAGTTTTAAAACATTTTTAATAACTATTTTTCATATCTAGAATTGTACATTTTTTGTCTTCGTTTTGGTTATTATTTTCATTAATATCTCTGAATATTCTTTAAAGTCCTTTTCAGATCTCAGGTATGGAAATATTTGACGACTCTATGCACTGTTTTTATTGGCTTTAGGGTTTTGTTTTGTTGTGATTCATTGTGAGCCCCTTGGAGGGACTGATCTTCCATGGTAGTCCTGTATGTTTCCTACGTGGAGTGAGTGGGGTGTGTGTGTGTGTTGTGATTGACTGTGCCTGGTTCCAATATAATTTACCAGTTCTGCACCAGTTTAAATTCAGTTTATTGGCTTAGGTTTCCCTTTTATGAGGATAATGTGAACTTGAACCTTGTTTCTGCTTGAGCCATAGAGAAGTGTAGGCTTGAAGATTTGTCTTTTATTTTTTTAATTAATTTTTTCTTTTTATTTGTTTTTTGAGACATAGTTTCACTCTGTTGCCCAGGTTGGAGCACAGTGGCTGGATCTTGGCTCACTACATCTCCACCTCCCAGGTTCTAGTGATTCTCACGCCTCCGCCTCTGGAGTAGCTGGGATTACAGGCGTGCACCACCACACCTGGCTAATTTTTATATTTTTAGTAGAGAGATGGGGTTTTACCGTGTTGGCCAGGCTGATCTCAAACTCCTGGGCTCAAGCTGTGCACCCGCCTTGGCCTCCCAAAGTGCTGGGATTACAGGTGTGAGCCACCGCACCCAGCTGAGGATTTGTCCTCTTTCGAGGGATTCTGTTCATGCCTTTAGCCTGGGGCAGGTGGCTTGCCCGGGCCAAGGTGGGCAAATACTTATGGTTTGTGGATAGTGTGGCGCTCTCCTGGATTCCAGCTGTGTCCTGGGCCTGTGGCCTAGAGTTCTGCCTCTGGGTTGCTGATAAACTCTAGCGCTGGGTCTGATATGAGTTCTGGTCTCTGCCCAGCTTCATCTCCCACCTACCCACTTATTTTTTTTTTGAGACAGCGTCTCACTCTGTCACCCAGGCTGGAGTGCAGGGGGTGCAGTGGCACACCATCAGAGCTCCCCATAGCCTTGACCTCCTCAGCTCAAGCTATCCTCGCACCTCAGCCCTCTAAGTCGCTGATACTTCAGGCATGTGCCACCGCACCCAGCTAATTTTTTGTATTTTTGGTATAGACGGGGTTTCACCATGTTGCCCAGGCTGATCTCAAACTCCTAGGCTCAAGCAATCCACCTGCCTTGGCCTCCCAAAGTGCTGGGATTACAGGCATGAGCCACTGCACTCAACCTTCCACCCACTTTGGGTTTCCTCTTCCTTTTCTGGCACCTGATGATTTCTTTCTTTCTTTTGGGGGCTTAACTGTGTATTACATTTTTATCTTTTCAGTGGCTTATCCAGCGTTTGCATTGGTTAGAGTGGAAAAGGGAAGGACTTTTATGTCTTTTCAGATTACTTTAATCAGAAGTTTCTCTGCACAAGTTATCTAATCTCATTAAGCCTCAGTTTCCTCTTCAATAAAAGCACTGGAGAAAATAACATATGAAATTCTTAGCTCAGTTTCTGGAATAAAGTAAATGTTTTTAAAACAACGTAGCTATTACCACTTTTCATTATTACTGTAATAATTGCTGTGATTCAGTTTTTCTTCTCTAATACTCACATATCTATATAGGCATGATTATAATCTGGAAGTTGTTGTAAATATGAAATTTTTTTTGGCCCAGTGCAGTGGCTCACACCTGTAATCACAGCACTTTGGGAGGCTGAGGCTGGTGAATCACTTGAGGTCAGGAGTTCAAGACCAGTCTGGCCAACATGGTGAAACCCTATCTCTACTAAAAATATGCAAATTAGCTGGATGTGGTGGCACACCCGTGTAGTCACAGCTGCCTGGGGGGCTGAGGCAGGAAAATCGCTTGAACCTGGGAGGCAGAGACTACAGTGAGCCAAGATCACGCCACTGTACTCAGACTGCAGTGAGCCGAGATCACACCACTGTACTCAGGTCTGGGCGACAGAGCGAGACTCCATCCAATTAAAAAAAAATTTTTTTTTATTATTGATGAAATTTTTAAAAAGTAATAAAAACCATACACATTCAGTGGGTAACCGTCAGCCATAGAGAAATGTAGGCAGGGTGCAGCTGATTGCTGTCTTTGGGCAATTTAGCTTTTAGGCCAGAGGCCACGGATGGGTAGCCTGGTGCCTAGTGTGTTTTTGTTTGGCTGGCACAATATTTTTTAAAACTGTAAATTTATTGCCAGCATTTTAAAATGGTGACATTTCATATAAAATTCAGATTCCTGACTTCTCTTAAATAAGCAAAGTATTTGACCACTCTGGGCCTTCTTTCTGCACAGGGTCATCAGCTTGTGCCGAATGGTTGCTGCCCCATGTTTTCTCCCTGGCCCTGAGACCAAAGGCGATTTACTTTTTTTGTTTTTTGAGACAGAGTCTTACTCTCATCGTCCAGGCTGGAGTGCAGTGGTGTAGTTTCGGCTCACTGAAACCTCCACCTCCCAAGTTCCAGCGATTCTCCTGCCTCAGCTTCCTGAGTAGCTGGGATTACAGGTGCCTACCACCACGCCTGGCTAATTTTTGTGATTTTAGTAGAGATGGGGTTTCACCATATTAGCCAGGCTGCTCTCAAACTCCTGATCTCAAATGATCCACCTACGTTGGCCTCCCAAAGTCCTGGGATTACAGGCATGAGCCACCACACCTGGCCAGGCCACTTACTATTTACTGTTGCACGTTTACTGTTATTTTAATAGTACAGAAATAGTGCTGTATACTCATTTCTTTCTCACATATAGGAAAACAGAAACTACATAGAGAAAGCCACGTTATAGCAAAATGAAAAAGGGACTATTTTGTGGCTTGCTTTATTTATTTACATTAACCTGCCTGGCGCTGTGAACACTTCAGTTTGCAACCTCCTTCTATGCATCTTGGATATCTCTCTAAGTTCTACCTTTTTCTTTTTCTTTCCTTATCCTTTCTCTTATATCCCCCTGCCTTACCCTACGATAACCGAATCAGTTTCTATGAAGAACTACTGAGCCTTCTGGAGCAACAGAAAGTGTTGACTCAAGCCTGTTTCCTCCACTCCCTCGCTGCCCCACCTTCCAGAGAAGTCAAAAAAATCTCCCTACCAACTGACTGAGGATTACAATTTTTTTTTAATTGAGAAGCAAAAGTTTTCCTTCAACTGTTAGGTGATCAAAGGTTTAAAATGCAAAATACTTTGAAGAAGATCCATTAACTAAAAAATTCATTCATTAATCAGCAGTTAGAGGTGAGAGTCTAGCTTATTGTTTTTGTTTTTTTTTTTCCTAGATCACACTTCATTGTGCAGATAGCCTGTTGTTTTGATTGATATGATTTTATGTCATTAAGAGAGCCCTGGGGAACTGTCAGAGGGCAGGGAGATTTCCTGGGATGAGGATGGAGATAGAGATGGAATACAGAGATTATAAAGATGAAGAAATTAAACTATTATACTATTTCACATGGAAATTTATAGCAGTTCTTTTAGTTTGTGGGCACGGATATTGTAAATGGGACTTTTTTTAGAGGAAAACTTGTTTATGTAAAGGTTTATATTCTGTATATAAATGTATTTTTGCCATTTGTTTTGCAGATTGTGGGATTAGTGATATGCTTTTCTAAAGAGTAGAAAAGTCGAAGATGTCTAGACAGAATTTTGTGGCTTTGACAGTGACTACCCTTCTGGGCGTGGCTATAGGGGGGTTTGTCCTCTGGAAAGGCATCCAGCGCCGCCGAAGGAGTAAAACGAGCCCTGTGACCCCACAGCCACAGCAGAAAGTGCTGGGCAGTGGAGAGCTGCCCCCTCCAGAAGATGATCAGCTGCACTCCAGTGCCCCCAGATCCTCGTGGGAGGAACAGATCCTTAAAGCAAAGGTGGTGACGGTGTCTCAGGAGGCAGAGTGGGATCAAATCGAGCCCTTGCTTAGAAGTGAATTAGAAGATTTTCCAGTACTTGGAATTGACTGTGAGTGGGTAAGTTAAAAAGCAAACGTTAAAAAAACAAAAACAAAAAAACAACTTCTGCTTTTCCAACTGGGACCTTGGACAGTCAAGTAGGAAATAAGGTTAAAGGAGAATGAATTAGCTTGTTCTCAACTTGCTTGTAAGCAGATTTTAGCAGAGAAAAGGAAGCTGCTGTTCCTCTCAGGATGGAGTACTTACAATTATGGATTCTGGAGTCAAACCTATATGAATTCTATTTTCCCCACTTATTCTGTGAACTTGGGCAAGCTATTTAGCCTCTCTGAGTCTTTGGTTGGTTGGTTGGTTGTAATAGGAACATCATGGTACTTACCTCCAGTGGCTTTTCTAAGGATTCAAATAACCCCTAGAAAGGATTCAGCACAATGTTAACATGTAGTAGTAAGTGTTCATGAAATATTAGCCACAGTTAATATTTGTAGTAGCGTTTTCATTAGGATGCCATGGAGAAAATAAGGAAGTCTATTTAAATGGAAATTATTACTTAGGATTTTAAAAGATAACAGTTAACATTTGAAACATCATTTACTGTAAGCCATGTACTGTATGTTTTGCTTGCATCATCTCATTTAATTTTCACAGTATGGGCATAACTTGGAGATATTGCAGGTTCGATGTTAGACCATGGCAATAAAGCAAATGTTGCAATAAAGTGAGTCACATGAGTTTTTTGGTTTACTAGTGCATATAAAAGTTATGCTTATGCTGAGTGTGGTGGTGGCTCGTGACTGTAATCCCAGCACTTTGGTAGGCTAAGGTGGGGAAAATCAGTTGAGGCCAGGAGTTTAATACCAGTCAGCCAGGTCAGCATAGCAAGACCCCATCTCTACAAAACGAGAAATTAGCCAGGTGTGGTGACACCCACCTGTAGTCCCAGCAACTTGGACTGAGGCAGGAGGTTTGCTTGAGCCCAGGAGGTTGAAGTTGTAGTGAGCTATGAACACATCACTGCACTTCAGCTTGAGTGACAGAGGGAGATCCTGTCTCGGGGGGAAAAAAAAAAGTTATATTTGTACTATAGTTTATTAAGTGTGCATTAACATTATATCTTTAAAAAGTACATACTTAAATAGTTTATTGCTAAAAATTGTTAATAATTATCTGAGCCTTCAGCAAGTTGTAATCTTTTTGCTGGTGGAGGGTCTTGGCTTGATATTGATGACTGCTGACTGATCAGGTTAGTGATTGCTAAAGGTTGGAGTGCCTGTGACAGTTTCTTAAAATAAGACAACAAAGAAGTTTGCCACATTGATCGACTCTTCTTTTCATGAAAGATTTTTCTCTACTATGTGATGCTATTTGATAGCATTTTACCCACAGTAGAACTTCTTTCAAAATTGGAGTCAGTCCTCTGAAACCCTGCCATTGCTTTATCAGCTAAGTTTATGGAATATTCTAAATCTTTTCTTGTCATTTCAGCAGTGTTCACAGCATCTTTACCCGGAGTAGATTCCATCTCAAGAAACCACTTTCCTTGCTCATCCACAAAAAGCAACTCTTCATCTGTTAAAGTTTGATCATGAGATTGCAGCAGTTTAATAACATCTTCAGTCTCCACCCCTAATTCTATTTATCTTGCTCTATCCAGGAAATGTAATTAAGAGTCCCTAAGCAGAATGGCTCCGCAAAATCAGTTCACAGGTTGATAGAAGAGGCTACTAGGTGCCAACACTGTGATGACCAAAAAGAGAACACCTGACAGTGTGGGGAAAGCTTTGTAGTCACAAAAGCCCTTATACCACAGCTACTGAGGGTGTTTCTTTATATCAGCAATAGTAGTAGTAGTTTACACCAATGACCTTGGGCCATCAAGAAAGGATCAGTGATTTTAATCTGTTCTGTATAAAAAGTTACATCATTTTAGAACTGTTTACATCAGCAACAATAAAAGAAAACAGGGTTTAAGTGGTAAGCTTTAGCAGATTAGGAAAATTCACATGTGCCAAGCACCTGGATTATTCCAACTAAACAATGTATAACTTGAGCAACAACAGGGTAGACTGAAGTGAATAGTAATTGATCTAATAATACACTTTAATGGCTGGGTGTGGTGGCTCACGCCTGTAATCCCAGCACTTTGGGAGGCCGAGGCAGGCGGATCATGAGGTCAGGAGATCGAGACCATCCTGGCTAACACGGTGAAACTCTGTCTCTACTAAACATACAAAAAAATTAGCCGGGCGTGGTGGTGGGCGCCTGTAGTCCCAGCTACTCGGGAGGCTGAGGCAGGAGAATGACGTGAACTTGCAGTGAGCCGAGATCGCGCCACTGCACTCCAGCCTGGGCGACAAAGCAAGATTCTGTCTCAAAATAATAATAATAATAATAAAATAAAATTTTAAAAAACACTTTAATTACTATAGCAGAGGCATAGATAAAGTGGCAAATAATCTAACCCCCACCTCATTTTGACTTTTGATGTGTATTAAACTCAGGTTGAATGCCACATTTCCCTTTAGGCATGACAGCATTTTCCTGATTGCTGTCATAAAAAACTCAATGAAAAAGTCATTCATGGCTTCTTTCCTTGTAAAAATAAGATAGAATACATTTAAGAGATGAATAGAAAACAAAAATAGGCTGGGTGCGGTGGCACACACCTGTAATCCTAGCACTTTGGGAGGCCGAGGCGGGCAATCACTTGAGGTCAGGAGTTCAAGACCAGCCTGGCAAACATGGTGAAACCCCCCCGCTCTCTACTAAAAAGACAAAAATTAGGTAGGCCTGGTCGCAGGCGCCTATAATCCTAGTTACTTGGGAGGCTGAGGCAGGAGAATCACTTGAGCCCAGGAGGTGGAGGTTGCAGTGAGCTGAGATCCCGCCACTGCAGTCCAACCTGAGCGACAGAGCAAGTGAGATCCTGTCTCAAAAAAAGAAAAAACGAAAACAAAAATAAAAGGAAAAATCATCCGTTCATGCTCTATTTATTCTCCATTCCTGTTTTGCTTTTTCATTCACTTTTATGTAAATGCTTATTCGATTATTAGTTTTGTTCTTCGTTGTTTTTTTTAGAGACAGGGTGGTGTCACTCTGTTTCCCAGGCTGCAGTGCAGTGGTACTATCATAGCTCACTGCAACCTCAAACTCCTGGGCTCACATGATCCTTCTGTCTCAGCCTCCCAAGTAGCTAGGACTGTAGGTGTGTGCCACCACTGTCGCTTGGTTCCGATGGTTGTTGATTTTTTTTTTTTTTGAGACAAAGTCTTACTTTGTCACCCAGGCTGGACTGCAGTGGTGGGATTTTGGCTCCCTTTAGCCTTGACCTGCCTGAGCTCAGATGTTTGTCCCACCTCAGCCTCCCGAGTAGCTGGAACTATAGGTGTGCGCCACTGCACCTGGCTAATTTTTCTGTATTTTAGTAGAGATGGGGTTTTGCTGTGTGGTCCAGGCTGGTCTCAAACTCCTGTACTCAAGCAATCCATTTGCCTTGGTCCCAGAAAGTGCTGAGATTACAGGCGTGAGCAGCCGTGCCTGGCCTATGTTCTTGCTTTATAGTCAATATTTGTTTAGATTTACCAAAGTGTTTACCTTCCTGTATTATTCTTCTTCTTCTTCTTCTTCTTCTTTTTTTTTTCTTTTTTTTTTTTTTTTTTTTTGACAGGGTCTCACTCTTTTGCCCAGACTGGAATGCAGTTGTTCGATCACAGCAAACTGCAGCCTTAACCTCCCAGGCCCAAGTGATCCTCCCTCCTCAGCCTCCTGAGTAGCTGGGATTACAGGTGTGAGCCACCACACCCCATCTCTTTTTCATAGAGACGGGATTTTGCTGTGTTGCCCAGGCTGGTCCCAAACTCCTAGGCTCAAGTGATTCTCCTGCCTTGGCCTCCCAAAGTGTGCTGGGGTTACAGGTGTGCATGAGCTAACATGCTGGGCCTTTTTTTTTTTTTTTAAGAGATGGGGTCTTGCTCTTCCGTGCAGTTGTGTGATCATGGCTCACTGCAGCCTCAGACTCCTGGGCTCAAGTGATCTTCCTGCCACAGCCTCCTGAGTAACTGGGACTACAGGCATGTGCCACTGCACCTGGCTAATTTTTTTTTTTTTTTTTTTTTTTTTTTTTTTTTGTAGAAATAGGGTCTTGTTGTGTTGCCCTGGCTGGTCTTCAAGTCCTGGCCTCAAGTGATCCTCTCACTTTGTCCTTCTACCAGCATAAGCCACTGCACCCAGCTGTATTTACCTTTTTCTTTTATTTTTTGAGACAGAGTCTCGCTCTGTCACCAAGGCTGGAGTACAGTAGCGTGATCTTGGCTCACTTTTCCTCCCAGGTTCAAGTGATTCTCCTACCTCAGTCTCCTGAGTAGCTGGGACTACAGCACGCCACCATGCCTATCTAATTTTTTGTATTTTTAGTAGAGGCAGGGTTTCACCGTGTTAGCCAGGATGGTCTTGATCTCCTGACCTTGTATTTACCTTTTTCTTTGCTCACCTTTTCTTATATCTCTGACCTTCTTTTGGGGATCATCTTCCTTAAAATCATTCTTTAATAGTTTAGGGCCCATTGATAATGAACTTTGTCATTTTGAAAATGTCTTTATTTTAATTTTAATCTTAAAGAGATTTTCTCTGGGTGTAAAGTTCTGGCTTGGCAGTTTATCATTTTCAAGATAGTATTCCATTGCCTTCTGGCTTCCATTATTGCTGCTGAAGATAACTTGTCAGTCTATATCTTGATTCTTTGTAAGTAATGTAATTTATTCATATCTCTTCTTAAGATCTTCTCTTTGGGTTTTTGGTTCTGAAGATTCACTATGATGAGTCTAGGTGTTTTATTTCTAGCTTGGGATTCAGAAAAATATCTGGATAATAGGACTGATATGTTTTATCAATTTAAAATTTCTCTTTGAAGATTGTCTTTATCCTTTCTTCTTTCTTGCTGGATTTTTTTTTTTTTTTTTTTTTTTTTTGAGACGGAGTCTTGCTGTTTCACCCAGGCTGGAGTGCAGTGGCGCGATCTCGGCTCACTGAAAACTCCGCCTCCCAGGTTCACGCCATTC